ACTAGCAAACGAAATATGGTGCTCCTATCCACCGACGCCGAAAATATACCGTGACAGAATTGTGTAGGGATAGCACCCATAAGCTAATTTAATGCATTACTGCACTGGCATGTGCTGGTGTATGGAGGTCATGGAGGGTCAAGGAGACAATGTTAATTTACAGCACATTTGGAACAGGCTCTAAAGTCATCATCCAACAATAATTTAATATCATAACATTTAGTAGGGTAAGGAAGCACTGCTGTAGATATCTCATTTGGTTACAGGCATTTCCCCCTATATAACTGACGAAGATTTGATTATTTTTTCCTCCAGATCTTTTTTCCTCTTTCCCCCTTTTAAAATAATAAATCTTGGTCTTTCTATATTCTTTGTCTGACAAGTTACTAGGTACTCTTTCTCATTGATGGGGGAGCTGTTGGAAAACCCACTCACTGTTGATTAAGACCTGTTTTGGACTCTCACTTAATTATCACTGTTTTATGATAGTTGCAGTAGATATGTCATTCCAACCAGCCAACTTCCAAATATTGACCCTCAGTTGTAGTGGTCTGAACATACCAGAGTGACAACACACACTCCTTAGGGTACTTCAGTGCAAACACACAAATATAGCACTCCTCCAAGAAACCCACTTCAACGAACTGCACACTTCCACGTTACTGAACAGAAGGTATCCTACTGAATACTCTAGCAATAGGGGGCTATGAAGGCAGGTGTTGCCACACTCCTATTTAAGGATATCTGATTTTGGGAACTGGGAATTGTGTGTGATCCAGGGGGCAGGTACCAGTTTTAGAAAGGATTTATAGCGGAACACAAATCCAGCATAACTTCTGTATATGCATTTAATAGAGGGCAGGCCAATTTCTTGAGCAACTTTGTTGAGGGTTTTCTGATTTTAGGGGGAATTTCAATATGACTGAGGATCCAAAATTAGATTCTACACTAAAAAGCTACTTAGATATATGGTTGGTTATGATGGCCCTTGTGGTGGGGGGGGGGGTTGTTCTTACTTGTGGACAGCAGAAGAGCATTTAATCAGTATACCAAAGACTACACATATTAATATGCCCTCCATGGTAACTAATCCCAAATTGACTATATATACAGTGGCGTACACATGACCCATGGGGCCCTGGTGTGAAAATTGATTTGTGGGCCCTCCCTTCCCCTCCCGCGTGGGTCGGGGCCGCAACACATGGCGGCGGGCACCTGGTCGCAGGGCTGGGACCCCGCGACCGCGGTATGCACACACACCTAAAGGTCCACTACAGACACCCAGATCACATCAGCTCAATGAAGTGGTCTGGGTGCCAGGTCCCTCTAGTTTTAACCCTGCAGCTGAAAACCTAGCAGTTTCAGATAAACGGCTATGTTTCATTGAGGGTTAATCCAGCCTCTGATGGCTGTCTCATTGACAGCCGCTAGAGGAGCTTCCGTGATTCTCACTGTGAAAATCACAGTAAGAAGACACTGAACGTCCATAGGAAAGCATTAAGTAATGCTTTCCTATGGGCGGTTTAAATGCGCGCACGCCTCTTGCCGCGCATGTGCATTCGGAGCTGAGAGGCGGAGGGATCCCCAGTGCCAAGGGAGTCCAGCGCTGGAGAAAGGTAAATGCTGAAGACACACACTCTCACGAACAGACTCATACACACTAGCTAACAGACACACACATTTACTGACAGAGACACACTCAGCGACAGACATACATACACACTCACTTACAAAACATACACTTTGACAAACACACACTCAGTAACAGACACACACAGTAACACACTCACTGACACTCATTAGCAGACACACTCACTGACACTCACTAGTAGACACACACACACACCCTAACACACACACACACTCTAACACACACACACACACTCTAACACACACACACACTCTAACACACACTAACACATTTTTTTTTTATTTAATCCCCCAGCCTCCTTACCTTTTGGAGAGCTGAGGGGATTCCCTGGGGTCCAGTGGTGCTGCTGGTCTCCTGGGTGGCCGGTCACTGGGTGGGCGGGCTGTCTGGGTGGCCGGCGTGCGAGGGAGCACTCTCCCCTGAGTGCTTCCTCTTCAGCTCCCTCACGCACCGCACTGATACCGGAGCCGGAAGATGACGTCATCTTGTGGCGCGCGAGGGAGCTGAAGAGGAAGCACTCAGGGGAGAGTGCTCCCTCGCGCGCTGGCCGGCCAGACAGACAGCCAGCCCACCTGCCCGCCCGCCCGCCCACCTGCCGGGTGTCAGCAGGGCCAGCCTCGGGGGGCCCTGAGGTGGCCGGCTCCTGGGACCCCCAGGGGAAGTGGCTGGCCCAGTGGGTACATACCGGGTCGCAGGGGCGGCCGGGCCCACTGGTATGTACGCCACTGTATATATATCTAAAACAGGAGAATCTGCACTTACTACAAAGTGCACAGAAAGATTCAGCTATATGGTCTAGCCACAACCCCATACAAATATCAAATATCACTGAAATGCCTGCTAACCTGGCTTAGAGACTGGACTTGGAAATTGAATGAAACCCTTCTTCCCAATGTAGGTGTTGTTTCCCAGTTGTTTCAGAGTATAAATACTTACTTTGAGGAAAATGACACAGATAAGCTATTAACAATTTGGGAGGCACATAAATGTGTGATAAAGGGCTCTATCATTAAGATAGACACCAATTAAAAGAAAGACAGTATGGCAAAGATAGTAGATTTAACATCACAAGTTTTAGATTTGGAGACTCCTCACAAGAGATTGCAGGTAGGCGAGATATATCAGGAGTTATTGCAAGCCAGGAGAGAATATCTGCATTTATCATGCACGCCTATTCAAAATGGGATCTGATCTTGATAATGGAGGTGGTACAAATTTACAACCATTTTCATTTTCATGGAAGATTACATTATTTTCTTAGTGTCAAGAATCTGTTAACATAAGCCAAAGTCATATATGATCTATTCTGTGAAACAATAAAAGGACTGATTGACTATAAGGTATACTATCCATCATGTTCACCACACTCCTTACCACCCAACTGGAAAAAATATCAGTTTGTTCATTCACGTCCTCCTATTTGGGCATGCTATTTGGTTTATTACAATTTTATTTACCTTTTTTATGAAATCCAATAGTAAAAATAGTTTGAAAATATGATAACATGTATAAAGGAATACTCCAGACACACAGAGCATTTCAGCTTGCTCTTTGTGTCTGGAGTATTCCTTTATAAAGGTTGTCCTTTAAAAGGGGGCACTTTAGGGTCAAGGAACACAAACATTTATTCCTGACCCTATATGGTTAACACCACCATCTAGCCCTCCTGGTCCCCTCATGCCACCCTAAATATAGTAAAATCGTACTTATATTCAAGTATGGAGCTGCTTATTTTGTCCCTGTTTCCTTTAGACCTGCCCACTGCCTGCTGACATCAGCAGAAGTGGTGGTCTGAGCCAATCACATTGCCACTCCATAGGATTGGCTGAGCCTGACAAAGAGGCAGATCAGGGACAGAACCAGCACAATTCAAACCCTTTAATAAAAAAAGTGACACACACACACACACACATTCACTTAGACACTTACAGACACACACACACACATTTTCCCCAACACTCACAAATTATTATTATTATTTTTAATTTTAATTTAAATCCACCCAGCCTCCCTGGCTCGAGCCAACACCCCTTAAGCCCCCAGATAGCCAATAACAGGACTCGCTTATTGGACTGCCCCTACACTTACATAACTCTCCAGGTTTTCTTTATTTGCTCATCTCGATCACCATTTTACTAGAGTAGCTTACTTTTGCTGCAAATATAATGTGTTGCCGTCTCTATCTTATGCTAGGAAATAGGAGATCATGTTAAGCCTTTGTAGTTCCATGATTGTGCAGCTTAAAAGGATGCAAGTGCTAAATGATGAATTGTATGTTGTTATCTAGCTGAGGCTCTTACGCAATGCAAATAATTTATGATATCACTTAACAGCCATGACATGGTGACAAACTCACACGATACATAGGCATCCACCATCGTAACCAACCTGGAGACCTGGTGACCAAGTCTAGCAAACTGTTATAATCAGTAGTGGTGCAGACCCAGTGGTCCTTCAACATATTACCCAAAGCATGTACCGCAACGTCTGTGTGTATATATATATATATATATATATATATATTTAGAATTGCAAGCTCAGTGGCACAGAACTTTATTCAGAGAATAGTACAGGCAAAGATACAGAATGGCACCTTTATGAAACAAAAAGCGATGATGTACAAAAATAAGGCTGTGTTCTGATGAATCGGTTCAGAGGACAAAAGGGGAAATAAAATAAAAAATAAAAAAGCGTGTTCTAATACCATTACATAACCAAATTATATTTTGCATTTAAAGTAAATTAAGGATGGTTAAGATTTATACGTAGGTAGCATGCAACGTATATATTACGCCAGTATTCCTGCTAACGTTTAACCTACAGTACTCCCGCTGGCACTTACTTTATGTTATTTTATTCTAATTCGTACTCACTTTCAGGCACCTCATCATGCCTCTTACTCTGCTACTGTTAAGTATAAATTGTCTTGCCAGGCATATTTGCTATTATCAATGTATGTGTTTTAGTATTGCCGGTGAGTTAGGCTCATACAGTTGACCTTTGCTTAGTATGTTTCATTAATTATCTACTTAATTATCTAGGTGGAACTGATGATTCCATAGCCATAGCTAGCTACTAATTTACTATCCACCATGTACATTTCAATACAAATCTAGCTTACTATCTTTACCTACTACCACTGTTTTACTGGGAGCTTTGATGTATCCGTTTAGCCTGTATACTATAACTTTAAAATGAGGCAGCCATGTCGCGGAAGATATATCAATGTGTGTATCATTGCAAATTGGATGTGGGACCATTTAATATATATCTCCTTTTTCTTTTCTGTACCCACTTTACCTATGCCTCAATAAAAGAAAGATTTACAAAAAAAAAGAAACAATGGTGAGCACTCAGTAGGTCAACAGACATTAGTTTTATTTTTATAGGGTCTTTTATGGAGACTTGCAGAGTGCATTAGTAAACAATCAAGCATTTTTTTACTCTTGATTTGATTATGAAGGAAAATCACTGTAACTGCAAAATCCTACATAATATTAGATACTTTAAAATATATACAGGTGATACTCAAAAAATTAGAATATCGTGCAAAAGTTCATTTATTTCAGAAATGCAACGTAAAAGGGGAAAGTAATATATGAGATAGACGTATTACATGCAAAGCAAGATAGTTCTAGCTGTGATTTGTCATAAGTGCGATGATTATGGCTTAAAGCTCATGAAAACCCCAAATCCCCAATCTCAGTAATTTAGAATATTACTTCAATCAATAAAACAAGGAGTGTACATAGAACAATATCGGACCTCTGAAAAGTATAAGCATGCATATGGACTCAGTACTTGGTTTGGGCCCCTTTTGCAGCAATTACTGCCTCAATGCGGCGTGGCATGGAAGCTATCAGCCTGTGGCACTGCTAAGGTGTTATGGAAGACCAGGATGCTTCAAAAGCGGCTTTCAGCTCTTCTGTATTGTTTGATCTCATGTCTCTCATCTTTCTCTTGGCAATGCCCCATATATTCTCTATGGGGTTCAGGTCAGGTGAGTTTGCTGGCCAATCATGCACAGTAATCCCACAGTTATTGAACCAGGCTTTGGTGCTTTTGGCAGTGTGGGCAGGTGCCAAGTCCTGCTGGAAAATGAAGTCAGCATCCCCAAAAGCTCGTCTGTGGAAGAAAGCATGAAGTGCTCCAAAATCTCCTGGTAGACGGCTGCGTTGATCCTGGACTTAATGAAGCACAGTGGACCAACACCAGCAGATGACATGGCTGTGGAAACTTCACACTGGACTTCAAGCATCTTGCAGTGTGTGCCTCTCCATTCTTCCTCCAGACTCTGTGTCCTTGGTTTCCAAATGAGATGCAAAAGTTGCTCTCATCAGAAAAGAGGACTTTGGACCACTGAGCAGAACAGGTCTGTTTTTCTTTAGCCCAGGTAAGATGCTTCTGACGTTGTTTGTTGTTCAGGAGCGGCTTGACAAGAGGAATACGACATCTGAAGCCCATGTCCAGGATCCGTCTGTGTGTGGTGGCTCTTGATGCACTGACTCCAGCCTCAGTCCACTCCTTGTGGAAGTCCCCAACACATTTGAATGGCCTTTTCCTGATTATCTTCTCCAGGCTGCGGTCATCCCTGCTGCTTGTGCCCCTTTTTCTTCCACAATTTTCCCTTCCACATAACTTTCTATTAATGTGCTTTGATACAGCACTTTGGGAACATCCAACTTCCTTCGCAATTACCTTTTGAGGCTTTCCCTCCTTATGGAGGGTGTCAATTATGGTTTTCTGCACAACTGTCAGGTCAGCAGTCTTCCCCTTGATTGTGATTCCTACTGAACCAGACTGAGAGACCATTTAAGGGCTCAGAAACCCTTTGCAGGTGTTATGGCTTACTTAGCTGATTAGAGTGGGACACTGTGAGCCTAGAATATTGCACCGTTTCACAATGTTCTAATTAACTGAGATTGTGGCTTTTGGGGTTTTCATGAGCTGTAAGCCATAATCATCGCACTTATGACACATCTCGGCTTAAACTATCTTGCTTTGCATGTAATGTGTCTATCTCATAAATAAGTTTCCCCTTTTACATTGCATTACTGAAATAAATGAACTTTTGCGCGATATTCTAATTTTTCTTATATCACCTGTATATGTGTTATCTCCCTTATACCACATTCATGGGGTAAAAAAAGACAAACACAAAGGGGCAAACATTGCTAAATATTTTAAGAGGCATACAGTAGGCCTGAATGCCATACACATTAAAAAAATATAACCTCTTTTCCTGGTAATTAGAGGGATGCCACACTTTAAGCATGCAATCGCATAACATCTAATCTAGCTTGGGCACATGTGTATTTTCAGGTAGAACCAGGGACGTATTAGCCGCGAGGCAAACAAGGCATTTGCCTTGGGCGGCATTTTTCAGGGGGCGGCAAAAAACGCCGCCCCCCAAATGCCCAGGGCAAATGCCTAGTTAGCCTTGCGGCTAACTGACATCCCGAGCGGCCGGCGAGGGAGCACTTCCCATGAGCTGACTGCTCAGCTCCCTCGCGCACCGCAAAGTGAGGCTGGGAGCCGGAAGATGACGTCATCTTCCGGTTCCCAGCCTCACTCTGCAGCCGACGCGCGAGGGAGCTGAGCAGTCAGCTCATGGGAAGTGCTCCCTCGCCGGCCGCCCGCCCGCCCGCCAGCGCCGCCCGCCCTGCAGCCACTGGACCACCAGGGAGAGAGACCCCCCCCCAGCACTCCCAAAGGTAAGGAGGTTGGGGGGGGATTTAAATTAAAAAAAAAGTTAATGTGTGTGTGTGTTTGTGTCTGACTGTGTGTGTTTGTGAGTGTGTGTGTGTGTTGTGTATGTGTCTGACTGTGTGTGTGTGTGTTGTGTGTCTGACTGTGTTTGTGTCTGTGTATGTGTCTGACTGTGTGTGTGTGTGTGTTTGTGTCTGACTGTGTGTGTGTATGTGACTGTGTGTGTCTGTGTGTGTTTGTGTGTGTGTTTGTGTCTGACTGTGTGTGTCTGACTGTGTGTGTGTTTGTGTCTGACTGTGTATGTGTGTGTGTGTGTGTCTGACTGTGTGTGTGTCTGACTGTGTCTGTGTATGTGTCTGACTGTGTGTGTGTGTGTATGTGTCTGACTGTGTGTGTGTGTGTTTGTGTATGTGTCTGACTGTGTGTGTGTGTATTTAGAAGGTGGGGCGGGGGGAAGGGTTGGGTGGGGGTGGCGCGGGGGGGCGCCTGAGTTTTGTCCTGCCTAGGGCAGCACAAAACCAGGATACACCACTGGGTAGAACATACCGTGTCATAAATAAAGGGCAACATATAGGTCACTAATATTTCAATATCAGAAATGTTCTAGGATTTAGAAAGGTTGAATGACCTATTTGCTACCTAATAATTTAAACTGGAAAAAAAGAAAAATACAGTAAATAAACTATAGTACATGTGTGATATTTCTTGATTTCCATTGGTGTGTAAGAATGAATAATATCTCTATTTCACAGCCCCCTCCTCTATACAGGAGATTTGGTTTTAGAGCACAAGTCATAAAGTCCAGTTGAGCACAACCGATTTGGCTATTGTTCATCAAACAACAAAGTGTAAAAACCCTGCATGTGGATCAGCGGCGGAACTACTGCTGATGCAGCTGGTGCACATTGAGGGGGCTCGTGCATTTAGGGCCACCTTATGGACGTGTATTCAGGGGCTCGTCTATGCACTGTGGCCCTTTAACAGTGTAACCAGGCCCCTCTCATATCACTTCCTCCCAGCTTACAGACTGAGCCACACGGAAGAGAGGTCAAGGTAGAGAGGAGGGGGCGTGGTCCAGGAGGACCTCTAACTCCGAACAGTCTCACCCATCAGACTGGACCCCACAGAAGCCACCCTTCTGCACCCAAAATGTAGGCTAAAAATGTGTACATTTTACATGTGTGTCTGTGCATGTATCTGTGTGTTTGTATGTGTGTCTGTGTATCTGTATGTGAGTCTGTGTATATGCGTGTTTATGTGTCTGAATGTGTATCTGTGTATTTATCAGTGTGTCAGTGTGTGTATCTATCTGTGTGTATGTGTATCTTGTGTGTGCATCTATCTGAGTCAGTGTGTGTATCTGCATGTGTGTAAGTGTTTGTATTCGTATGAGTGTCATTGTGTGTATCTGTGTATCTGCATGTGTGTCAGTGTGTGCACCTGTGTGTCTGTGTATCTGCATGTCTGTACCTGTGTATATGCATGTCTGCACTTGGTTATTTGTATGAGTGTCAGTGTGTGTGTTTGTATCTGCACATGTGTCTGTGTGTGTTATATGTGTGAGTATGTGTATCATTAAGTGTGTATGGCAGTGTATATGTGCTAACATCTCAGCATTCAAACTCCAACACTACACACAAATTGAACCCTATATGAAAACATCAACACTACATACAGACACACCCCTACATTCAAAGAAAAACATTACATACAAGTAAACCACTGCTTTCAAACCTACATTCAAACACATACTCCATACAAAAACAAGCTTACATTCCAACACAAAAACACTGCTCAGTGCTAAATACAACCCTGCACGGATGGGCAAATGGTAGATCCCCAGCTGGCAAAGCATTTTAAGAATTGTATGACGGATGAGGATCTACCTTTTAGCCATCCTTGCGATAGGGGGCTCAAAACATTTCTTGCACCAGGGTCCTCTCTACTTTAGTTCCACCACTGATGTGGATTAACTCTTTAGACCTTCAATCTGCATACCGCTTCCTTATAGAGAAGACGTAGATGTTCAAATGTTTGCTCAGTTGTTTCCCCTGAAATAAAACATTTAAAATATGTTATATGTTACTATTGCAAGCAATTTATAGACCATTTGAAAGTATTCTATCATTCAATCACTCAATCATTCAATCACTCAGACAACAGCTTTGGTTTTTAGAGAACCTGTCACCTGTACAACTATAAATAAGTAAATCATTCTAATTATGCATTCAGCTGTATTTGTCCTCCACTACTGAGATTTTTGTTTTTAAATAAATAAAGATTTGTAAGATCTGTCTGAAACATGGGAAGCATATATTGCCTATAAAAATTAGATAAAACAGCAATTTCAAATACTGATTGCTGTAACTTCAGACACACCATCAATAAAATATATATGTTTATAGACTTTTATTTGCTCATCATCCATATCAGAAGTTATTATCAAAAAGGACATGGGGGAAAGGGTAATTTGGTCCCAAGGAAAATCTAAAAACCAAAACTTAAACCACTGACAGATAACTTTAGGAGTGCTTTGTCCTGAGTTGGGTTGGCCAGAGTGCCTATTTGTTTCATAGATGGACAAACCCATTCTGGACACCATCTTCTACTCGGCTCACCTGCCTGTTCCACTTCTATACCTCTCATTGATGGGAATGCGTATTATTTTAACTGTGTGTCACAGGTATAAATGAATTACATCTTCCCTACAAAGAGATGAATTCGCTTTAGTCTAAACCTTATTTATATATGTACAAACATGCAGAAAATGTCTCCGGTGACAAAGGCATTTTTATTTTTTGGGAGAGCAAAGGTATGTTTGCATTGTAGCTGGTTTAGGGGAAAGTATTGAAGAACAAATGGCCTATGCAGCTTTAATGAGTTATATGGAGTTCATTAAAAAAACAGTTCTTGGTGAAATACCTGGAGAGGACATTGCGTAATTATTATTAAAGTCTAGGACATATACTAGTTTAATATAATAAATTATTGTTCTGACCTTGACATGTGACAGTGTAATTGGTAGGTTTGTATATCTTTTCATATCTGTTACCTTGCAACCTCCCTTGGTATACCTTTATATCTACTGAGGAGAAAATTGCATAACTGATAATTCAGGACACACTGTATTAATAATGTAAAAACAGTTTAAAGATATTGCTCTTTTGCTGAGACAGTGTATTTAATGTAATGTGAATGGTTATATATATTAAATATTTAAAATGGTGTTTTGTCACGCACACAATAGTTTTTCTTTTATGGACACACAACATACCACACAAACTCCATAGTGTACATGTGCTGCAGTAGTAAGGAGAGTAAAAGCAATGAAAGTAATTTCCTCCACTTGTCCAAGCAGTCCTGACACAGCAGCGCCCACTAGCAGAATAAGAGGGAAAAGCATCCAGTGGAAGACTTCACACCTTGTGTTTGTCATTTGAGATATAATCACTCGGCACTAAAAAAAAATAAAAAATTCAACTAGTATTAAGAAAAAAAAAAACACATTCATTAATAAATCTAAATACTGAAGTGAAATTTCATAAGTTAGTAGTGGATAACCTCTGCCACAGCAGATATTCTCATAATGCCCATGCAACCAGATGAATGGCCAAGAATCATGAAAAATTTATTCATTGCTCTATCTTAATTGACTTTCTCATCTTTTACTATAACAATGCTACTAAAAGCTATCATAATATGTGTCCTATTAAAAATATTTTGCATGTCTGTTTTTCCACTGCTATATGCTTTAATAAGTTGACAATTTAATTAAGGAAAATATAATTTCTATTACACCCTTAATATATTAAATTATTTTCATTTCAATACATTGAAAACAATATTAAAAAGGTGTGCTAAAACCCAGTAATGTGATTAACCCAAATAACAGCTGTTTCATATAAAAAAGAATAGTTACGTTAAAAAAACAGATTCTGGCTATATTAGCATGAACAAGAAGGAAACAAACATTGCATATTAACATTGTTACATTATTACAAAATTAAATTATAATATATAAAAATGACCTAGTCAGAGAGTGGAAATGTTTAATTTGTTACTTTATTTAAAAGTATTAATAATTAAGACATGCCTCTTTGAAGTGTTATCACATTACTCTTTGCCATATGCCTATTTGTTTTCAATCAAGACATTATGGGAAGTTTTTCTTAGTGTCCCTACAACCCCCACATGTAGTCAGCAGGTGGGGGCTTTATTAATAAACTGGAATTACCTAATGTCCCTACCCATGGGCGTCAGGTGGGGGCTCTAATATTGATAAGGCTTGGTGTCCCCTTATCCCCCCTACCCCAAATAAAGAAATATACGTACCCCCTCACCCTAATAGTAGTAGGAGTACAAAAAAACAGCTGTAAAGAATTTTTTTTACCTACCATCAGGTGTCATAGAAACATAGAATGTGACGGCAGATAAGAACCATTTGGCCCATCTAGTCTGCCCAATTTTCTAAATACTTTCATTAGTCCCTGGCCTTATCTTATAGTTAGGACAGCCTTATGTCTATCCCACGCATGCTTAAACCCCTTCACTGTATTAACCTCTACCACTTCAGCTGGAAGGCTATTCCATGCATCGCCTACCCTCTCAGTAAAATAATACTTCCTGATATTATTTTTAAACCTTTGCCCCTCTAATTTAAGACTATTTCCTCTTGTAGTAGATTTTCTTCTTTTAAATATAGTCTCCTCCTTTAATTTGTTGATTACCTTTATGTATTTAAATGTTTCTATCATATCCCCCCTGTCTCGTCTTTCCTCCAAGATCCTTTAACCTTTCCTTGTAAGTTTCTGCTCTTTCTACTGCTAATACCTCTCCCTATACAACTAAGCATTCTGCTAGCATTTCCTGCTCTATTACATTGTCTGCCTACCTTTAAGTCATCTGAAATAATCACCCCTAAATCCCAATCCCTGGTTTTTGTAAATACCTATGTATAATAATGTTGACCTCCCCTAGTAAGGAAAAGTTAGAGACCAACCCTTCAACATCTGCCCTTGCGTTTTTACGTCCAAGATGCATTATTTTGCACTTATCCACATTAAATGTCAGCTGCCACAACTCAACCATTGCCACAACCATTTTTCTAGTTTACCTAAATCATTTGCCATTTGGCTTATCCTTTCTGGAACATCAACCCTGTTGCATATCTTAGTTTCTTCAGCAAAAAGACATACCTTACCATCAAGACCTTCTGCAATATCACTAACAAAAATTTAAAGAGAATGGGTCCAAGTACAGATCCATGAAGTACTCCATTGGTGACATACCATGCTTCGAATATACTCCATTGACCACAACCCTCTGTTGCCTGTCACTCAGCCACTGCCTTACTCATTCAACAATATTGGAATCCAAACTTACAGATTGCAGTTTATTGATAAGCCTTCTATGTGCAACCTTGCAACCTCCCTTGGTATACCTTTATATCTACTGAGGAGAAAATTGCATAACTGATAATTCAGGACACACTGTATTAATAATGTAAAAACAGTTTAAAGATATTGCTCTAAAGCCTTACTGAAATCTAGTTAAGCAATGTCTACTGCACCACCCTGATCTATTATTTTAGTTAGCCAATCAAAAAAATCAATAAGATTAGTTTGGCATGATCTCCCTGAAGTAAACCCATGTTGCCTCTGATCTTGAAATCCATGAGATTTTGGATGTTCAACAATCTTATGCTTTTAAATGGTTTCTATTACTTTCCCCACTACTGAAGTAAGGCTTACTGGCCTATAGTTGCCCAACTCCTCCCTACTACCTTTCTTGTGAATGGGCACAACATTCGCTAATTTCCAATCTTCTGGGACTACTCCTGTTAACAATGATTGGTTAAATAAATCTGTTAATGGTTTTGCTAGTACACCACTAAGCTCTTTTAATAACTTTGGGTGTATTCCATCAGGCCCCAGTGACCAATTTGTCTTTACTTTTGACAGTTGAAATAGAACCTCTTAATCTGTAAACTCACATGTAACAAATGACTCATTAGTCCTTTTTTCTAACTAAGGCCCCTTTCCTTCATTTTCATCTAAAAAATACTGAACAAAAATATTCATTGAGGCAGTCAGCTAGACCTTTATCCTCTTCTACATACCTTCCTTCTTTTGTTTTTAATCTAATTAATCCTTGTTTTACTTTCCTTTTCTCATTTATGTATCTAAAAAATGTTTTGTTCCCTTTTTTACTGACTGTGTTGTTTTCTCTTCTGTGTGATCTGTCTTCTTTTAGATCTGTCTTCTTTCTTCTTTTCTCCAACCCCCCAAAAAAACCTCAAACACCAAATAAAATCCACAATAACACGATGTTACTATTGAAAATAAGAAATACAAGCTAACCAATCAGAACACTCAGACTGATATTGCATAGTGTGGAGAAAATGTCCCTTTGTAAGTTAATTCTGATTCTGGGGCTCACATACAATATTATTTAT